CTTTTCTTCCTTACTGTTGAATATAAAATGGCCGTGATAGAGATTAATTTTACTCCCAGCCTTCTGCACAAATATACTCTGCACAACACAATTTACAAGAAAAGTGTGCTAATAAAATACAGCTCTCATTATTAATATATGACTAGCATAAGGTAAAATGCCATCTTTACTAGATTTATAATTTGAGTACATAAATATTTAAAGGATCCCTTTAATTTTTTAAATTAATATTTGCTTTGCATTTGTTTAAGGAAACTCTTCAAATCACTTGCATTGCTTTTAAAATGCTGATATACATTTATATGTATTATTTAAGTTCTAATCTTTGTGAGGTACATCTGTATTTTTTAAATGGTGAAAATTAAACCTATTTTTAGCTATTTGAAAAAGCAGATCAGGAAGCAAGAAAAAAACATATTAAAAATCATAGTGATGTCTTCTAAAATAGAGTATTATAATAACAGTTAAACATTTTGCAGTTCTTACTATGTGCCAGACACTATTCTTGGAATTTTAGGTCTATGAACCACTTAATTCTACAGTCCAATAACTGGAGGTTGTAGTTTCTGCCTATTATTAACTTAGTTTGTGGGTGAGAGTGGTTCTTAAATCTTCTCTTTTGCGGCCCTCCCTGGTGGCGCAGTGGGTTAAAGCACTGCACTAAGAAGCTCAAGCCACTTCCACATGAGTTCGATTCCTGCCTGCCCAGGAGGTGACCACATGGTGAGGCAGACCTCTCCTGACCCGCCCGCTGCTCCCCTCAGCAGTGTACTTCCTCAATCTGCCTGTTCTGCTCCCCACTCTGTCCCTGGTGAAGCCTTTCATCCTCCGCATCTCTGGCCTGTACCCCAGTTCTGTATGAATAAAATAAATAAATCTTTAAAAAAAATCTTCTCTTTTGCTTCTATATGTTATCCAATCCACCAACAAATCCTATTTAATCTACTAAAAAATATATCACAGAATTTACCAGTTATCTCATCTCAACTGAAACTGTTTTCAAATAAGCCATCAGATTCATTTCTTTACTTGAATAATTATGAGTCTAATAATTTCCCTGTATCACATTAGTCTTCTCAGTATACCAACCTTTTTAAAAATAGTAAAATTATAATGTGCGTTTTGTGGTTGATAGGACCTTTTAAAGTTTTAAAGCATTTTATAAATGTTTTTATTTGAATTTTTATTAGCATTGTTATCTAAAGGTTTAGTGACTAGCAGTTGCCAGGCAAGTAACACACAATAATATGAAAATTACAAAATTCACTTGTATAGCTGGGGAGAGACTGTAGAGATTGTGGTCATTACAGTACTTGCATCTCCTTGGAAAAGTTAGGAAAATCTGTACAGCAGTGAGATCTGACCTACTGAGCAGTTACTGGCACTCACTTGCTAAATGAGAATTCTTTTATTTCAAAATAAAAAGCACACAAATCTGCCCATGTTCCTTCACCACATGTATGTATACACAAACACACATAAACGCATACACGCTTAATCACACTGTCGCCTTTTAATATGTTTTTGGAAGTACATCCACAAGGATATCAAACTGAGTAAGATTCATGAATCCTGTGCAATATTGAAGCAAATCAGCCACCATCACTGGCACAATACTGTAATTTTTGTACTTTGTTGAGTATAGCTCATATAAAATAGTAAATTGAAGAGATTTTCAAATCTCTTTGTGGAAGACCAAAGGGAAATCTTTTCTGCCTCCAGTAGGCACAGAATGCTATTAATGAGCCAGGGATGGCTCCCCTACTCTACAAAGCACTTAGCCACTGCCTCCTTTTTGTGCTTGCAGATGTCACGATTATCAAATTTCAAAGTAGTTTGAAAAATGACTCTGCTTTTGAATTTTTGTACATATTTTTGCTTGCCATGTGAAGTTGCATATCTGCTATTGACATAAAGTTTATAAAGCACTTTGAGCTTCAGGGATAAAAGATATATGATTACAAAGATGGGTAAGAATATTAAAGCAGGATAAAAGGGAGTGTTGGCCTTATGTGTTTTCTCCCCAATCAGTGACATTGATTTTAATAGAAAGTCTAAGAACAAAGGGGGAGATAGAAATAAACTTTTTTTTTAAGGATTCATTCATTTATGCATACAAGAACTGGGGTACAGGCCAGAGGTCTGTAGGGGGGTAGGAGTATTCACCAAAGGCAGAGTGGGGAGCAGTGACTGAAGGCATACTGACTGAAATACACTGCTGAGGGAAGCAATAGGGAGGTCAGGAGAGGCCTGCCATGCTATGTAGGTTACCTCCCTGGCTGGGGATTGAACATGCTGCAGTGACTGTGGATAGCTTCCTAGTGCTGTGCTTTAACCCACTGTGCCATCAGGGAAGGCTGGAAGTAAACTTATTAATAAGAAAATTGATAAAAAGATGTAATTCTCTGTTCTCATGAGAACATGGCTTTCTGAGTCAAAGACAGGAGTTTGAATCTTCATTCTACTACTAAAATGTGTCAAACATTATTCTATAAGCTTTATAATAATCAAGCCAACTAATCCTGATAACAAGTGCTTGTGGTAACTACTATTTTTTTAAAGTATTATTTATTTATGCATACAGAGCTGGTAGAGGGGTAGGGGCAGTGAAAGGCAGAGGGGTAGGGGCAGTGAAAGGCATCACCAGAGACAGAGTGGGGAGCAGAACAGGCCAACTGACAAAGTACACTGCTGAGGGGCACAGGGGTGGATTAGGAGAGGTCTGCTGTGCCATGTGGGTCACCTCCAGGGCAGGGATTGAACTCATGCTGAAGTGGCTTTAGCTTCTTAGTGCTGTGCTTTGACCCGCTGCACCACCAGGGAGGGCCTGTGGCAACTACTTTTAATAGCCCCATATATATAAATGAATAGAGGTACAGATATGGTAGTTACTACCCTAGATCATAAGGTCACACAGCTGGAAGGTGGCAAAGCCAAGATGAGACAAGGTATATTAATTAAGCTTCTCATAGGAACATGTAATAAAAGCCACCATCAATCAAACATTTTCTCTTTTTCAGGTTTTAGGATATATTTCCCACATAGAACATAAGAGCTGAAAAATAATAAGTTTTAAAATTTTAAATACTAAATATACCACTTTCATAAACAGAACAGAATGTATAGAGAAAAACTTCATTTTTAATATTTTCTTTAAAATACTTTAAGTCCCAATGGGGAATGGGATCAGATGGGGTGAGGGAAGTGCACTGGACTATGGTGATGGCACATGAGTGATCTGGTAAACTACTATGTTATTAAAATAAAACAACAACAACAACAACAAAAAGCTATGTCTCTACAGAAAGAAAAAGGAAAATATCAAATTGTCTCACTTAGAGGAGGAATGGGGGGAAGTAACTATGATAAAATAAAAATCAACAGGCAACTATAGATCAGAGACATCCTGTAGGGGAGGAGGAGGGGAAGGACCAGGACGGAGGTGGGACGAGCACGAGGGGTGATGGTGCACGGGGCATTGGTGGTGGGAATTTCACAGGGAAACCATACATTGAATAAAAATGAAGGATGACATAATAAATATATTTTTAAAAATAAAGGAAATGATGGAGAAGTTATATGAAAAAAGTAAAATAAATAACGGGGAAAATATTTTAAGTCTTGTTTCAGCAGAGTAAAGTTCATCTGAAGCTAAAATTTCTCTTCTAGTTTGCTTGTAGTAGTCATTTGCTCCAATTTTCAGCAGCAATTCAGATTGAAAATGTGCTGCATTATTTATCATTATATTTAGCTCTAGGATATCATTGATACCAAAAATAAATTCCCATTAGATAATGAATCATTTTGATGTGTATCTGGTGAAAATGAGTTTTTGAGTCAATATAATGGAAGGGCATAAGTATATATACATTGCAAGTACCATGGGTGGTCCTGATAAATTATACTAAAATAATCTAGCACATTTACAGAAGAAATGAATACAAGCTATAAAATAACCTTTTGAGGATGGCTACAGAAAAGAATAGGTCATATCCCCCAAACACTTATGAATTTCATTTTGCCTTAAAAAACATACTTAGTTGGGAGTATGCATTGTATAAGGAGTGCTGCTCTTTAATAACTTGACAATTTTGCTGAATTCAGCTTCTGGCATTGAATCTGGACATCAAATCCAGTCACTGTGTAAATATATCATCATTGCTAATACTGAGAGCTGTTGGAAGCAGAGGGCATGGAATCAAGAAATATAAATGAAAATGAGATCAAGAGAGAAAGGTTAGTTGCATAAAGCATTCGTTCAAATAACATGGAAACAAAATTGAAGTAAGAAGGAATGTCTGAGTCTATTTATTTCCATGAAAGTAAAGAAGAAAAATACAATACATTCCAAGTGGCAAAAAGGCAGCCATTTTATAAGAAAAATATCCACACCCTGTAAACAGATATATATTAAACAATATAGTAATAGGCAATTATCACTATATAAAACAAATTATTTTTATATAGATCATACTTTTAAAAATAAGTCTCTTGAAAATTAGTATTTTAAATATTTTTGTTCAAAACCAAATTTCTGCTGGAGTGTTATTCTTTCTTCTTTTGTTTGCAATGAATTTAAGAGGAATAAAGCTGATAAAACCAGTTTTCCAATATAAACTCTAGTCATTAGAGCAATACAATAGGCTCAGCATTAGACATAATGAGTATCATATACTAAATAGTTAAATGTGATAAAGGAAAATGAATGTCTGTGTGAAGAAACTGAGTTTCATTTAATCATTTTATAGTCATTTGAAGTACACAAATATATATTTACATATTAATATGGTAAGTGATTTATAGGAGAGGTCAGTTATATTATTACATGACCATAATCTCTTCCTTAGTGAAGTCTATCCTATCACAGTATCAGAGAATGCACCTTGGAGAAACAGATGCTGCTATTTTTTTATGGAAAACACACAAGTAACATGAAAAAATTAATTTACGATACATGACTTAAATCTAGAACTCAGATATGCCATAAGAAAAGACCTTACCCGCAAAAAGGAGTCTAGGGATCCATTTTCCATATATTCTACCACAATCATTACTGGTCTGCCTGCAAAAAGAGCAAGAGAACACATAGCCTTAGAGCCATTACAGAAATATGTGCTGTAGTTAGGGGTTTCCAGCTGTGGCAGCTAAATTATTTGTATTTTGATAATAATAATGATGTCATTTTTCAGTGTACTTCTATCCATAGGCATCTCTCCATTTCTTTATAACATTATTTCCTTTCAGTTCATAAAGGCATATGAATTACAATATGAATAACAAAGAAATTAAGCATTTCTTTTTCTAAGGCCTTGCAATCACTTGTTTAGAATGTTTTCTTTTTGCCCTTAGCTTTTCCTTAAAAGAAACCAAGCAAAAATTAGAGTTTAAGCAGTTACTGTAGCTGCTTTGGCAGTTTGGTACAATGAAACTTATGGCAGTACAGTGATTATGGGTGAACTAGATTGGGATTTCTGAATCAGCAAATGAAATGGTAAAGGAAAAAGGCAAAATTCTTTAAGAAATTATAAGCCATCAGTTATAGTCTGCTTTTAAGGGATTTTAAGTACCAACATTCCAGTAGGTTGATGAATGCTACAAAGATGGTGGGATTTGTCACAGTTCTTGATCATCTCTATTGGACATAGATTAGATCAACAGACAATGATGGCAGTACATGAAAAATAACTGATTTCTTAGTCTAGTGCAGAAGCTAAAATCAGAAGCTGAACATTTCTTTCTTTTTTATTATATCCATTTGCAGTCATTACACTTCTCAGTATACCTTCATTAGGTAGAATATTCAATATAAATAACTTTGATTTGTTTCAAAGAATAGAATCTATTTGTTCTGCCCAATTGCCCAAGTTTAAAAGATAAACTCATTTCAGATGAAAGAAAATGATATTTACCTGAAATAAAAATGTATAAAGAATTTACTTTTTACTTCTATATTTCTTGCTTTTCATTGGAGTTTTTAGCAATTCAATCTGCACTATGCACAGAATTTTTCCCTGCAAGTATAAAGATCTGGAAAGAAATAATAGATCCCTTACTGTAATTCATGTTTCTTTTATGAACTCTGAACTTTGAGGGTCAGAAAGGGTGACTGTAACAAATTAGGGCAATATCTGCAAGTGCTAGCTTTTACATTGGAATGTATATTTCACAGAAAGATGTGGTAAAAGTTAAATGTAGTAATAATGCTCCCAATTTATCATGCACACAATTAGAACCCGAAAAGTTTCCACGTTGGTAGAGATCTACAATGTTCCTCAAAGTCATTAATTTCACCCACATAAAGAACTTTATCAGAAAAAAAACGAGGTGAAGTGAACTCTATTATTGTAGTCAAGAATCTAGAAGAATTAGGTTTTAAATCTGAAAGTCTGTCACGAAATCTTTTATTTTGTCTTTGGTTTCAGAGAGCTTGGAGATAGAATCCAGATGCAAACACTTGTTTAGCAGAGTAGGGCAAAATAAAAGATCCTTTTAAGACTTAACCATAATTAAACTGAGACTCAGATTCCAGTTGAAATGATAATGGAGTCTCGCTGTCAAGGGACAATGTTAGGGTCTCTAATAATTGCTTGAGTTCTTCTGCCATAGTTTCAGATATTTTCAATTCAGATCATTGCTACCAGAGGGTGTTGAGGTTTCAAAAGGTACATTAAAATTAAAAAGACATTTAACTATTTACCTTCCTCTTAAGAATATCAGTCTTTTTGGACAAAAAGGCATGTAAGCAATGCCTTCTCTTGTTTTGAGACATACAGTTATTTCTATTACATAGA